AATTCTTTGCTAAATAAAAAATTAAATACTAATAATAAGTTTAAAATACGTTTGGTAATTTTTATTTCGTTTTGTTTTTTTAAGGAATCAGAAAGTGTCGCTTGACGTTGTATAATGACCCGCGTTGTGCTGACATATTAATGTAAGTATGTATAAGTAAACGAAACAAAATCAGTAGCTATACGAATTAAATACAAAATTTAAAATTGTTGGTCATTTAGGAGCAGCGTGTTAAAGGCATCATCTAAATTAATAAATAATTATATTTTATCTTATCTAGATAATTAACAAAATTAGCTGTCTTGTTTTCTTGTAAAATAAATGGTTGAATTATCAAAATTATTTATCTAGATAAATTTATTACGTACTAATTTTAAAACTTAGTGATTTTGTCTGTCTATAAACAATTTTTCTACCACTGAAATACATTTAATTCAATAATATTCAGTTTTAAATCAAATTGAAAGTATAATCTATCGAACTAAACATCGGATAATAGTAATAATTGATAATTATTTATTTTTAAAATAAAAATTAGTTAACGAAAAAAATATGCATAGGTAATTTATTAAAATTTAAAATTTCTATTTTTTATATTTGATTATTCAATTATCTTTTATCTTTATTTAGATACGTTTTTAAATATCTTTGCCTGGCATTCAAGATTGGTTGGTAGTGATTATATTAAATTCGATTCCGAATTGACGACAATCGATTTCCGGATTTATAATATTTTGTTCGGTATCTAACGTGTCTGAACATATAAAACCATCGTAAATCACAAAATCAAAGTATATAGTATATAAAGTCATTGTGAATAAGCTCACTATGAAACTTTGCGGTCTTTTTTCCGTGTCATACTTTGGGAAGAACTTTTAAACATTTCCCCCGTCGCCCTATGCAATCGTTTTTCCCACCCGGTCACGATTTCTGTTATTTCAAGGTAACCACTGCTTGCCCTCCCCCCATCGGTGTTTGTTGTACACACAATTAAATTTCCTAATGATTCTCCAAAGAATTGTAGAATGTTTATGCAATTAGTATTGTATAATGAACAAAGGTCGTCTTAAGCATTCTTTACTTATATCCAAAAAATATTTTCCCAGACAAAGAGTAAAACATGTTTCTATCGTCAAACGGTTTACGAAACCATACTTGGAATCTCAAAATGAATAATAATAATAAATATTGTGATTGTAGCATCACAATAATTCGTTTGTTTTCCGAAATATTTCGTCGTGTATTATTTATTATAAAAGACAACGGTCACGCAGTACCTATATGGAAAATAATGAGTCCTTTGAATTTTCTTCGATATACCTCTACTCCGGAATCGAGATTTTCTTAGAACGGAATGACGTTTTAGATATAGTGACTAATTATCAAAGGAACGCGGCGCGTCATTAAAATTCATTTTTAAAGAACTAAACATTGTCTGTCGGGTGCTGGTATACACCAGCACCCGACAGACAATGTAATACTATAATACTATAGTGTATATAAGTATACCTGTTATACATATCGAATACAAATTCTGAAAATTACGAGCAAATTTGTATACGAATACCTACTGAAAATCTGCCCGAAAATCCGTTTTCGTAATATCGAGTCTAATTCTTAAGTAGATTATCATTATACAATATATAATAAACCGAGGAGAATATTATTAGTTATATTCCCTATGCCTATTAGTAATTTTAATACGATATAATACAAATTCGTTTCTTTCGCTACACTATCGTTAATTCGGGGTATAGAACATTAATTTGCATGTACCGAAAGGTCCGAAACTAATTAATTCGATTGTGTTTTGGAATTTGACGAAAATCTGTTATTTAATTATTTTTTTGAAATTGGGAACTCTATAGCTCACACAAAAATAAAAAAAAAATGAACGCATAACTACGGTAACATTAAGTCATTGGTGGAACATGTAGGATTTGTTTTTTTAATTTCTAAAAATACAATACGTTTCGAATAATTTATTATTTCCGGTATAGTTACCGATCGATTTTCGGTAATTTATACCCAAATTAATAATATAATAGCCAATAGGTAACAATATAGTGGAAATTAGTAAAATGTCAAGACGATTGAACGATTATAGTATTAGGGTTGTTTTTTTTTTTTTTTTAATGTCACAGTCATTGATATTTATGTACTTCTACTATAGCAGTTAAGTACAATTTTGTCCGTGCATAGTATTGAAAACAAAAAAAATTAAAAATCAAAAACACATTTACTCTCAGTTTTCACCTCCTCCTTTCCGATCTTATCACAGATTTTTTTTTCGAAGGTATTTCGCTGAATTTCGGGAATTCGGTATCAAGGTGTGCATACGATCTAAAATATTTATGATAATAAAATAATATGTTATTGAATTATATTATGTATATTATTATGAAATAATATATTTTTTGAAATTAAATTTCATAAATGAACATTTTATTTTATATTCTTTTTCATAACATTACCTTGGAATACTGTGTAGTACAATTTATTATGTTTTTTTGATTTCACGTGCTTTTTTCTTGATACTGTTTAGGTAAAATCAATTGTGAATATTAGTCACATAGGTCACTATAGTATAGAGTCCTATACTATATTATAATGGTGTATACTTAGATCTGAATTTTTAAATTTTATTTAAAATTTGCTTATTAGGTGGTAGGTATTAGGTAATGAAAAATCATTATCACGTTCCGAAAATATCGCATGAGAAATGGTGATACCCCAAGCACTTTTGCCTGTAAATAAATCATTTATTTGGGCAGATTAGATGTTGAGCACGATTGACCAAAATCACTCAATTCAGTGATAACGTTGTTCTGGTAATTAATGAACTGCTAGACGAAAATAAAAGAGCTTGGATATACCACTACTGACTATTAAATTACTATAATAATCATATTATAAATCTGAAAGTTCATTTATGTGTGTATGTATATGTGTGTGTGTTTGTTAGTGAGTTTTTGCGAGTATAACTCTGTAACAGCTGAACAGATTTTCATGAAATTTGATATATAGTCACTTTAGGTCGAGAGTCTTCAACCAGTGACCCTATATTTATTTATTTTTTTTTTCTATATTTATTTATGGCCCATATGGTCACAGAAAAAAAAAACACATTTTCTATGTTTGTCAAAATACAATGTTACTTCGTCGATAAAATACGTAGTAGTGATTTCTGATTTTAAACTCGAGTTTCATACAAGGTTCTTAGATTTCAAAGCTAATGAAAAAGTGTTTTCAATTCTATTTTCATTATCAGTTGAAGATGTCCCAGAAAAAATCATTCAAATGAAATCTGTTAATTTACAGAGTAATGCAATATTATAAACGAAAAGTTTCATACCATTAAACTTTTTATTTTGTATTAAAAGTATATAGACAAGGAGATATATTCTAATTTACAAAATTTCAACACTCTAAATATCTCAAATTTTCAAAATCTGTGTTCGATTAGACCAGTGGTGACCAATAAAGGCCCGCTACGACTAAACTACCACTAAAAGGAAACTAGAAATCATCCGATCCAAAACGCTTTGAAGAATCCTCAATCTTCCCAGGTTCGGAAATAATTTTGATCAAAATAAAAATGAAATTTGCAATTAATAAAAAAACTAAACCCGTGTAAAAATTATAAGTTAAAAAGAGCCGGGTATGATTTTACGAGTGACGGATCTGAAAAAAAATAAAATAAACGACACGACCCCAAAGTTTATACGGAGTAGAGAATTTTGCCTGCAATAATGAGGAATGGTTTATTTTCTCGACATTTTCGTTTATTGAACACGAAAGTCAGAGTATTGAATTTTTGAGTTATCGAAAAATTGGAAAATAGGGTCAAAAGTGGATGGTGCGCACAAAATATGTCTTTAGAATTTTCATAGACTGCAAATTCGTGATGACCATATATACCTAATAAAAGACAATAACTCGAAAAGTGTAAATAATTAATCAAATAACTTCAGGATACAACACAACGTTTTTTTTTTTATAAATATTATTTTTTACTTTGCCACGATTTTACATAAACAAATACAAAACGCAATATAAACTCGACTACATTATATTTACGAGAGAGCCTTATTTATTTTTTTTATACCCGAATCCACCATTTGATACAGTAAATACCGTATTTTGTTTTATTTACTCAAACGATTTACGGACACTTCGTTATTATACAAAAATTGTTATTATTTTATTTTTCATCAGTGCGTTTTTTTATTTTTACTACTGGTTTTTTTTTTTAAATTATATTTTTAACCGTAACAAAATGATAATTTCATTTCAAAATTCAAATTCGATCCTAGCTCTCATAACAATATTAAATATATTATTTGAACATTTTGATATATTAAACTACAGGGTATCTCGCGAAGATATGATCATTGCAATACCTTGGAAAGTATAAACTTTTAAATTTGGATAGCGGTGCACTATTTAAACGCCATGCGATGTACTGGTATACATATGACGCTCCCCTATTCATATTAAAAAGTGGAATAACTTGTCACCAGGTTGACAGAAATCAACATTGTCAACACCAAAATATATTTAAAAAATACACATATAATTATGGAACTTTTAATATAGGTTGCCTATTGAAAATCAATACCCGGTTTATCATTAAAAATAAGAGTGGCAAAATATAACATTTAGAGCTACTTGTTTCTTATTGTTAAAAAAAAAAATAAAATTGTCCTGATAAAGGTAATACTTTTCAAGACGTAGCAATGATCTTCGTAATACACCTTGTATACTCGGAGCGTTTTGGGGGTGGTGGTGGTGTGAAGTAGTCTTGAGAGTTTGGAAATTACTTCCCTACCGTTCGCCACTCTTGGTAACAATTGCCGCCTTAAACTTTATATAAACGCCTTTTAAATAATAAACGATTTGGTTAAATAATATATATATATATATATTTCCTATAATAATAAGCATATATAAATTATTAAAAATTCTACACGAGAACTTCACTATTCTTCGGTTCGCCGAGTATAAAATTCAAAATAATACCCTATAATAATACCCGAAGGGTGGTCGCCCTAGAGAACAAACAGTACCTATATAGGCGTATTGCATATTATTTTGAGCCTATATAAATATTTTGGAATCGCTTACCAAAGTCGGTTCAGAACTTATACTGCATCGTGTTTATCGACCTCACTTGAGTCGCCTTCCACGTCAGCTGTAGGTGAGGTACACCTTGAAAGAATTTTGCGGGCCCCTTCCTCAGGAATATATATATGTGTGTATTTCTTTTTTAAATACTTATCTAATTTTACACAAAAAATGTCCACAATGTACCTGTCGAATATGCGTAAAAAATGCAAAATGAAAATTTCACAAGTTTATAAGTGTAATACTGAGAATGGGTAGGTATCCAAAATTCCGGACAACATTCTAATAATTACGAATTCACCGCACGGAAAATTCATCGCCCGGTGAATTATAATTATTTCCCGAATTTCCAGCTGTTGGTTTTACTTCAAATTCTTGTTAGATCAAAGTATACTTATTGTACAATCGATATACCGATCTAAATTAAGTTCATTAAAACCGAACGATTCGAATCGTACGAAATTAAGTTGTCCCGGAGTTTTCCTTCTGACCCAAAATCATACACCTGAAATTTATCAAATTACGAATGACTGAAGAAATTCCACATTGTATGATAGCACAGAATGGCACAGGATATAAAATATAAAATACACTGTTATTTTGAACTAAGAGAAATTTACGACTTACGGATAGGTATTTTAATCATTGGCATGTGGATAATAATATCAACATCAATGCGACCGTGTTTATTTAAATTATATACAGAGTGTAACACGAAGGTCTAATACCTGAAATAACTATTGTTCTATTCTCTAAGACATTGAATTTAAGTTTTTTTTTTTCTGAAAATTATTTCTAGAAACTTACATAGTGATTCTTTTATTGTAAATTTTTTAAATGATTTTTAACCATAAAATAAAAAAACGACAACATACTTCAAACGATGAATGAGACACTGATGTAAGTAAGAAGTTGAAAATAAAGGGGAATTTAATGTATATCTGTACGCAATGATAAAGAAAAACGATTCTGAGCGAAGTTCGGTTATACATATTTTGGAAGGCCGTAATATTTACGATTTTCGTCAAATTCGATACTAAAATTTTTATAAAAAAAATTCTATAGTACATTCAATTTTACACACAACTACATGTTAAATTTTAAGGTATTTCTGTTTGGTCTAAACATATTACCGAGTACCGATCAAAAAAAAAATGTACGTAAAACATTCGCAAAATTAAAATGTCTATAAACAACTCAAAAATGGCTCAAAGGTTATAAACATTTTTCGACGTCTAGAAAATGCAAGTATTAGTTTTTTCCAAAATTTCAAGTCTCTAAGAATAAACGTTTTAAAAAAACGAATTGAAACTAATACATTTCTTACATTTTCCGTTTTTTCCCAATATTTCCCATTTATTATGAAAATCCCTGGGAAAATAAAAAAAAAAACAAAAAACGAAGAAACCAAATAAATAAAAAGTTGGTTAATATGCGTTGAAAAAGTGACAAAAACACAGTTTTGGAAGTAAATAAAGTGTCATAATAAATACACTGCAGAGTTTAGATTGCATAAGTACCTCCTAGTCTGCATAATCTTTTGTTTGTCGGAATAATTATTGCAAAATGTAAATATATAAAGAATATTATAACATATTAAATCTTAAAACAAATATTGCCTTTTTATTTTTTATTTTTTTTTTTATCAAACAATGTTTATCTGGTACACTTATATGTACATAAAAGCTTTTAACCGACTATATAACAATAAATAACTCCTTTTAAGGTGGTTATACGCGTGATAAGGGAAAATTACAAAAGCATAGAGCGAAACGGAAAATTTTGCTCACGTGATATAAAATATAGATAAAGATATTTTTTAATTAAATATAATATACATCTGTGTATATATATTTATATATAATAATCGTAAAACAAATAATCTGTACTCGTGATATTCCTGAAACTGCAACGTTACGATAATACGCGAATATTGTATACGTGGATGTAATATATTGTTGCTTATATTTTATTTAATGAAAAACAAATAAAATTTATCATCTCCTGCGAGACGGACGAAGTTGTAATAAAAGATAACATAAAAATAAAAGTGTAGAGCTGCTTGTTTCTTAAATGTTTTGAAAAACAAATTTCGATAAAAATTGGTCCATCCTAAAATCCACCTAAATGGATCACCTGGTGCATTCTCTGCTATACTCAGAATCTATAATTTGCTGACAAGTTTTAACTGACTAATTCGTCACCAACTAGCTCAAACCACTCAACAGATCGGAAAAACAGCAAAATCTTCCAGACGAGTGATAAAGATCAAAGACAAATAAATCAAGTGTGTTTGTCTCTATTGAAATATTCAAACGTTCACTCAAATTTAATCGATCAGGACTGTTAGGAGGGTGCCTACGGTAATGTAACATTATATATATATATGTTTAAATACAAGGAAAAAAGTAAACACGTTTTTCGATTTTTTCACGGTTTTAATGGACCATTTTTTTGACGAGAGTAAAACGACTGACTGTAATGCTACATCTTCAGTATCTAATCGCCGTCGTCATACAGCGAGTACCGAAAGGGTTAGGTAAGCAATATTTTGTTTTGTGTTTGGATAGATCAAAATTTAATAGAAAGTCAATACAGTTATCGGTAAATTTTAAACACCATGGTTAGTAATTATGAGCGCAGGTAAACATATGCATTGACATGTTTTACTTGGACACCTGGTTAAAAAGTTAAATAGTTTATACCAAAATATGTCGCAGGACCGAACGATTCTGTAAGTGTTTATCTAACTAGTATACACAAAATTGTATTCTGTATATTTTCGCGTTTTTGAATTTTTAATGCATATTTTATTATATTGTGCAATTTCAAAACATATTACAATTATTTTAAAATATTTTTAACATGATTTTTATCATTATTTATTTTGTAGAGAATGTTTTGGTATATCAAACATATAATTATACGATTTACTGCCTTAGTTATTATATTAGATATCTAGGTATTGATAATTATATAATAATAATTATTATACTATAATAATATACGTCGAAAACTCAAAACAGATGAAAAATTGCTATATTTATAGCAATAATACTTATAAAAGCTAACTGTATGATAGAGAACCTATAATACTATGCATAAGTCAGCAGCCATAACACTCATCTACTAAAATTTAAAATTATATTGATTAATCCATGGACCATTTGTTTATGCCATAAATTATGAAAAAAATATAGAACAAATTCGCAATTTACTTCCAATATTTTTCATATTAAAATCCATGGTAAAAAAAAAAAAATAACTTCATAGGTTCATAAATAAAATCAGCCCCCTCGGTACTGGTATATGGCTAACGAGTTTCAGATTAACTCATAGAGTCGTTCATCTAGTTGTTTTATATATCTGTATTTAACAATAAAATGCATACATTTTGTATATTTACTATAACAATATTCACATTTTAACACTGCGGATAATCGAATCGATAATATATTACTTATTACAATATGTTTTATTCGAGTACCTAGGTAGTATATTATAATACATAATTGCAATTCAATTTTTATTTTTTTCTGTTTAATATTTCCTGTTAGTGATAATTAATAAAAAACGGAAAATACCAAGAAGGATATTTTTTATAAGGGGAGAAAAACCTTATCGATTCAAAACCTAATATTGAATTATCCCCGTGTAAAAAAAAAATGAAAAGCACTTTTTTGTAGGATACAGGTGAGTTGTATATTTATTTTTAAGTTCTCTAGTAAAAATATTCGATCTAAAATTTAGCTCGAATAATAATATTACTAACAATAATATTATAACGAAGAGTTAAACTCATCATCGTTCGTATTTTAATACTGTGCAAACCGTAGTCTCTTGCCCGTAAAATTAATTACATGTTATTTATGCTTTATTTATGATAATATATGGCGTATGTTTCAATATTAGGGATTCGGTTTGACTAGTTTGTGAAATAAATTATAATGTATTCTCCAATTAGAAATAGTAATAATAATAAAATCTTTGAATATTTTTAAATAGCCACTTTTAACGAAATAAAAAAACTATTTAAAAAATTACCTAAAAATCATTTAAAATTATACTTAAGCTTACTTTTATCAATATAGAGATTTAGATTATGAGCGCAACGAGATTTTACTATGATGTGCATGATTTGTTTTGTCTGTGTGTAAACAACTCTTCAATATATAGGTACCAGAAATCTTACTCCGATCGAAATATAAGATGGGAGCAGTTATGTAGCATTTTTGGACCTAATTGATGCATCAGGATCACTGTTTGGTTTTTTAAGTAGTTTCCATAATAAATGGAAAAACCGAACAGAAGAAATGGACAAATTTACGGCAGTAAAATTTGCATTATTTTTGGTTTTCTCAAGTTAACTTTTCTACCGGAAATCTCGCTATGCATTTCAAGAGCAGAGACCATTCTGGACAATTTTTTTCCGTAGTTGGTGCATCAGAAAATCGTTTTTTTATTTTCGAATATTCGAGCCGAATAATATTTTATACACTTATGTAATATTGCAAACTTATAATCAATATGATATAATATCGTAAAAAAAAAGAAGAAATTTGTGACAAGTACGAGTATAGTATATGTCACGAGAACGAATTATTACGTAATAAAACACAATACGACATAACAATAACGTAAAAAATTAATAATATAAGTAATATTTTCCATTATATTCTCTAAGTTTTTATAAATGATATTCCTTATACTGTTATTTTTTTCGTTACTTTTTGACAACTTATACTGTTACACAGCGATTTTATACACGCCTATGTTTACGAAAATCAAAATTCAAAAAAGCTTTTTTTATTGCATACCATCCAAACAACTCAAAACACCTGGCATTATTTTTGCATAAAAAAACGTAATAAAGGGGAGAATATTTAAGAATTTCAAAAAAGTGCCAACGTGTGGAAATTCCGTATCTTTAAATGTACGTCGGAAAACGAAGTACCTTTTCTCTGAGGAAAAAAAACAAACATTATATCATAGCAAAACTTATACCTATAGTATTTTCACTACACTAGGAATCTAAAATCCACACAAAAAACATTATTATAAATGTATAAGAAATACGGTGTTGGTGACCTAAAAAGGTACCGAAAGAAAAATCGTTATAATGACCTAAAAAAGTAAACAATTACTTAAACATTTTTCAAAAATGATTAAAAATGTATTAATTATTTATTTTGAAAACACTTTTATAGTTCAAAGAATATTATAGTTAATTAGAATAAACATGCAATTTTTTTCCCAAGGATAACCCAGAACCAAATATCTTTGAAATTTAAAATTAATTTTACAAAAACATGACATACAATGTCATTAACATGTAAAATGGCTTTTAATATAAAAAAAAAAAAAATGATACCATTTAAAGGCATGCCACTGTATAATATATTGGTAGTTTGCGAGATACCTACACATTGATATAATATGTATACGGGAGCGTTTGCTAACCAAAATAACGTGTTAAAGAAAAACATAAACAACAATATTCTATAATAAATATTAAAAATATTGAAATATCATATTATTATATTATTTAATAAATACAAATATTTCAAATAAATTGCCGAAAAATCCGTATGCTTTAAAGTATCTATGATACGAAACAAATCTTATTTGAACTAATTACTTCTAGGCTATACTCAGACCCCCCGAAAAAAAAAAATTTAAAAACGGAGCATAATACGTTTATGGTAAAATATGTCAGGAAATCCGAGAAAACGGCCAAATCAAATTTATAATATATTTCCAATCAATAGCACATCGTTCGTTACCGAGATACGCTCAGCTTTTCTAGGTAGGCAACGATATAATGAAGCACCGACCAAATGCATCGCTCATCAACATTATAGTATAGTTGGATGTTCATAACATAAAAAATAGCATAAAGTTATAGATATTTACTAAATAGCTTAATGTAAGGCCGCAATAGGAAAATAATTTCCAGGACGGGGAGTTGTTAGTTATAAATTTGTGGTGTTCTAATTTTAATATAATATTATATACCTAGGTAATTTATTTAACTATTAAACACGAACAAATTTTGGTGTAGAAGGGATCGAAGCACCAACCCCCTCCCCACTCGAATATAGTCTTAAGTCAGATAGTCTATAGCAAAATATGTTTTTAGATTTAGAATGGAGCGAAGAAGCTTATAGTTTTACAAAGATGTTTATTTTTTTATTTTATTATTATTTTTTTTTATCTGTGCGAAACTTTTCTACCAATCGAATTACTCAGATTTCTACATGTAGCATTTTTTCTGAAAGGAAACCGGTGTAGGAGGGTACCTTAGAGAGGTTATTTTTACGAAATATAATAAATATAATCTTATGATTTTTTTTTCAATGGAAAACTTTTCTATCAGCGATTTTGCTCCAACTTTTAATGATAGGAATAAAGAAAATTCACTAGCGAGGTATTTTAAAGACGTAACTTTTTGATATTCGCAAGAGTTTTCCCAGAAAATGTGAAAAATCGGGATACAACATGAGAAAACCAGGAAAATCGTAGGGAAACTGGGAAAATTGGTATAATATTAAACAAATTGTATTAAAGAAAATATATAAAGCCTATTAATTATTTTACTAGAAAATTATACATAAATTGTTGACAAAGCATCACTATTAACTGAACTCCGCTCAGAATAATTTTTTCGTAAGTAATGGTTTATCGTTGATTACAAATATACATTAAATTCCCGTCTATATCCTACCTTCCCAACTACCAACCTACACAAGTGGCTGCACCCGTCCCCATTATCATCTTACCTTTTTTTTGTAATGAGTATTTTTAACAATAAATACGTGCTTGGAGATCCCTTATAGCCACCCCTGTTTTGGGTTAACGTCGAATATTTTTATAACGGTCCGATTATTCACTACAATCTGGACAAACAATATTTACGTATTACGTTTTCGTTACATATTTATAATATAGCATTTGGTATAATAAATTATTTTGTAGTAGGTAACCGTTTATTATAATTATTTTGGGTCGACGTTTGTTTCGGACATGGCCGGACATGACTGCTGCATAAACCGCGGTGCACGATTACTTAGTTCAACGCGTATCTCGAACTTTGATCTCGCCGACGATTGCTACTTTATAAATTATAAGGGAGATGAGAATAATTTCGTCCTTCTATATTATATTATACACATAAAACCTCAGTATCCTATTGGTATCGTACCAATGTCAGTTCCCGCTCGCGTCCATAAACTGATAAGAGGGAATAATCAAAATAACAATAACAAAATAATTCTATACAGTAGGAGGATGAATTATGGGCTATATCCCCCTACCTCTATTGAATTAAAAACACAACAACCGAAGGAATATTTATTTTGTATATTTTATCGTGAAATATATAATATATATTTCAGCTAAGTTACAAGGAAGCTTTTTGAATAAAAATCGGCATTTTTGAATTCGGCTATTCAATTTATTCGTGATTTTTATTAAACTACATGTTCCCTCCCATTGAATATTTCCTTCAGTTCCTATATATATATCAAATATTTCGTGAATTTTAAATTTATCTTTTTTGAAATTTCAAACCGCTAAATAAAGTTACGATTTTCGACAGGCAAATTTCAATTTATGTTTTGATATTTCGTATAGAAAATACTTCCCCTAAAGATCGATTTTCAATTTATAGATAATAAAGAAATGATAGGCTATCTCTATAATACTTATACATTAGGCAGTGTCCTTGAGTTAATCAGTTATCACCATAGATAAAAAGTTGTAAAAGAAAAAACCGCTTCACTTATTAATAAATCGGGGAACACTGTTAAGGTGAGGATAACTCGTCCAAATATGTATTATTTATGATTTTCAGTAGGTAACAATTTAAAACAAAAATTCCAAGGTTCCATCGTAAAAATTCCGCCCCCACTAAAATCTGCCACCGGGTAATATCATGATATTATCATTATCAAACCTGATCGTGCGGTTTCAGATTTATATTTCTGACGAACATATAATAAATGAAATATAGTACTGTACCTACTATTACTCATAACCAAAACTAAAAAGTGATATACTAAATTATATTATACTATTTTCACATCGCCATCCAGCAAAACAAAACGAAAATAAAAACAGTCTTCGTTTCATATTGAAGTATATACTTATCGTCGGTATTTTTTCTGAAATCCCATACGAGCTAAACAATACAATATATATATAAGACATGTAGGTGAAATTCCGTTACGTTCACTGACTGACATTATCACGGCGGTGGGCTGAAGAGTTGGTTGGTAGGTAAGTACCAATAAACGTCAAAGTTAAATGAATTCTCCGATAAAAGGAAATGGCCTTTTTCCTCTGGTCTTTGTCGCACGTCTTGCGGCGCACAACGGCACACATCATTTACTTGAGGAAGTCATCTCGACATTTGCCATTCGGTATCTCGTTTATATATATTATATATTTAATATACCTATGTATCATTCTATGTATGATACGTATAGCGATCACCCTTTTAAAATATCATCATATACATTATTATAACATCTCACGGCAAATTTAATATCACATTCGACACCCGTTATATTATTATTATCATAGAGGTCGTGTCGAGATATTATTATATTGTCTTTGACGTCCGTAAATATATAGAGCGAGAGTTTCGCACGTGCAATATAATGTACGCGTGTGCACCTAAAATAATATTCCCGATATAATATTATGTTAAAAGAATATTATGATATTATGACACGTGCGTATATATCGGTTGTATTCGTGTACTTATGACGGCAAGTGCCGTGTTCAAGGAGAAAATTAAAATTCTTTAGGGAAAAATCAAAATTTAACGTCTCAAAAACATGAATTTCATACAAATATCCCTATACAATCCTATATAGATATTAACTCGTATATTATAGTGCAGTTCCGTGTCGACGTTATCGCAATTAGTATTTAGAGAGCATAATAATCTGGGATCTCAGACAATTATTTCGCTACAAAACTTAACATATAACTAATTCCAAGATTTTCGGGATTAGATTTGACCAACGAAATATTAAAAACAATTGATTTTTAACAAAAAATATATTTGAAAACCTATTCCATTCACACATCATCCGCTGCATTCTGCCCCGTTTCAGTTTCTTGGCACACCCGACACGTTTTTCTTCATCTCTGAAAACCAACGCAGGCAGTCTCTAATTTTCTATGTCCAACAACTATTGACAATATTTCCTCATTCCAATTTAAGGATATTTTGACATAAATGTGTTTTCTGCTTTAACAGCGTACTCTTTTTGATTTTGCTGTATAGTATTTTGTAATATAGGAAGAGAAGATAGACAACCTAAGGTATATCTAAGTGTAGCTGAGACCTGAGAATGGGGCAATTAATTTATAATCTGATCAGAGATTTTCGAAAATGTTGTCAATCGTATTCATGAACATTTTTCATTGCCTTTGATATTAAAGAAATTCACGATTACTTTGATTTCTTATCTGGGCTAATGCATCAGTGTTATAACTAATATCAATAATTAAATTTAGTTTATTAACAAACATTTGCTCACGATTTTTCTAATCATATCAACATCATGCTTTGCTAGTTATATAGATATTGAAGCTTCAAACTACGCTAAAATGAGTTCTGCAACCACCAAGTGACTTGAATTACATACAGATTTATTAAAATATAAAAAAAAATGAAACCGTTATACAATTTTTTTCTGTGAAAAGCCGATAGAATGTTTATTAGTTGACTCAGATTGTCAATTATCTACGAGATAAATTTCATCATTATTATGTGCTAACCTTAAAATTATAACACTTCTTTAAACAATGTTAACATAATTTTTGTTCTTATTATTAAAACTTTAGTACCTACAAAAAAAAAAAAAAAAATACCCAATAATCGTTCCACTCAGAGTCTAAGAATACGTCGTACAAAATAAGTTGTACAGTATTTTAAAAGATCACTGATGAATAATGGCACTATATCTACATCAAAAATATGTTAAGGCGGAACATAGGAAATAAGTAAAATTTTTTCTCAATTATACAATTAGGTGGAATAACCTTCTTACCTTAATTCTTGAACGTTTTTCAAAACAAGCATTTAAAAACCTTTTATACATCTTAACCAAATAAACATCTTAATTATAATAATAGTAAAAAAAAATATAAAAAAAGATTTGGAAAATAATATTTTATACTAATTGATTTATATTGAAAAGAAATAATTGCCTTTTTACATACCAACATAATATTGTTTTATTTGATATATTTTGTGTAATAAGAACGTTTATTGTTAACTATTAAAGCTCGGAAGTAATTGCTCTAAAAAGCTTTAAAATTGATTTTACTTTTAGCAGTAAAAAATATCCGAAATCGTACTAAAATTGCAATAAATTATTTTATTAACCAAACGAATATAAAAATACACCACGTACTGGGGAAATAATAACTCATCCATCGTCTTATCAAATAATATTTCCACCACTGCTATCATAATCGACAAAGCCAGAATTAACCACCAATATTAAATTAATTCTGACGTATTAATATATGACAAAGCCCCTGTCGTTATTTTACTTCTAACGTAAAAAAAATTAAATCAAGTGAATAATATTTAAAAACATTAAAAATGTTATCATCAATGAGGGACATCAACAAAATTGCAATCGAATCGAAAAAATGACAAAAATTAAAAAATGGTGTGTTAAATATTTTTAGATTTTAACTCGTATTTGTATGGAACGAATTTAACTTACTTAGCAATAAATCCGAACAATCGAAAAAAAGTAGTAAATGCATTAACTTCCGAGTCCTATTAATTATTATATCACCGTTACCCGCGTAAATTATTTAATTGACTTAGGTGTGACCACGGTAACTTTGAAATAATAATATGCGAATCATCCTTTATGCTGTTTGAATACTTGTAACAATAAAGAAACAGTATATGGTGGCCTACCTATAATCCCTTGTTATGAAGATTA